GTCCTCGAAGGCACACTTGGCAGGGTTGATCTTCATCCCATACTTTCTGAGAATTTGGAATGACTCCTCAAGGTGTTGGATATAGAGATCTACATTAAAAGATTTCACCAACATGTCATCAATATAGACCTCCATGGTCATCTTGAGCTTCTCTATAAACATTCTATTCACTAGTCATTGATAAGTGGCTTCTGCATTTTTTAGCCCAAATGGCATGACTAGATAGGAGAAGACCCCCTAATCTTTCATGAATGATGTCCTTTCTTGGTCATCAGGATCCGTCTTGATCTGGTTGTATCCTGAGAAGGCGTCCATAAAGCTTAGAAGCTTATAACCCAATGTTGAATCGATTATGAGGTCAATTCAAGGCAAAGAAAAAATATCCTTTAAACATTTTCAGTTGAGGTCAGTGAGGTCAATACACAAACGCCATTTTCTATTGGTTTTTTCACAAGTACCACATTGGCTAACCACATCGATTAGTCTAACTCCCTTATGAACTTGGCCTGAAGAAGCTTGGATACCTCCTCATTCAATGCCTTTTGCCATTCTGAGGAAAATCTCCTTCTCTTCTACTTGATAGGTTTGCAGCTTGGGTCCACACTAAGCTTGTGGATAATCATCGTGGGGTCAATCCCCTGCATATCCTCATACCTCCATGCGAATATGTCCAAACTATTTCTTAGGATTGCCTCAAGCTTCTACTTTATGTCATCCAATAGCTTGGATCCAATGAAGATTGTGTTCTAGAATCTCATCCATCTGTATGGGCTCTAGTTCTTCTGAGGGAGTTGGTCTTGTATCCATCTCATCTCTTATGTTCAGGTCATCTATCTGAATAGAATCGATCTCTTTCTGACTCATGGATGACATGTAACATTCCTTGGCCATCCAATTGTCTCTTTTCACAACCCCTACCCCATTCTCCGTAGGGAATTTCATCACTAGGTGGTAGGCAGAGGGAATGACCTTGATTGAATTTTGGGATGGCCTCTTCTGGATTACATTACAAACAGAAGGTGCATCTATGATGAGAAATTTTACTGTAGTAATGGTTTGTCATGGAGGGTCTCCTAGGGTGAGTACGAGCTAGATTGAGCCCAATAGGAATACTTTTCGCCAAAAAAATTGATCAAGTGTGTTTTAACTAGTTCGAGCTTTTCCTTGCCAACACCTAATTTATCGAACGCTCGTGAGAAGATGATATCAACTGAGCTTCCATTATCCACGAGCACACGATGCACAATGTTGTTCATAATAATTATTTTTATGACCAAAGGGTCATCATGGGAGAATTGATACCCCTCAAGATTAGAGTTTGATTCAAGGAAGTCGTCTGACCCGACTTTCCCGGATTCTTCACTGTCTGTGAGGCCTCTAAAGATTACTTTGAATTCACCTAGAGCTTGCTGATGTTGTTGTTGTCTTTTTTGGGACTGCTCGGGCACTCCTTCATTATCTAGAGTAACAAAGCACCTAAGTTGCCCCTCTCTGTATTTGGAACTCGATTTCCTTCTTGAGCTAGATGCACTGGTCAGTGTCATATCCATGATCTTGATGGAATTTGCAATACTTTGTATGATACTTCTTGTGAGGTTCTGACTTCATCTTAGAGGGCCACTTAATGTACCTATCATTTTGAACCTGATGTAACACTCAAGCTACTAAGGTGTTGAGTGGAATGAACTACTTTGGTGTGTATCGAGGTTGCAAATTTGCCTAAGGGGGTCCTAAATGATCTCTTATGACTCTCCTCTTCTTGGGAGATCGATATCTTCCTCTCTTAGGTGATCGGTCTCCTTCACGATTTTTTTTATGGCTTCTTCTAGGGCTATTCTCCTTTCTCTTTTTGTTTGAAGGCTGTTCGAGGGTAGCTGATGAGCCACCCTTTCACAAGATAACTTCTTCCTCATTGATATATTTCTCAACCTTCGCCAATACCTCAACCATGGATGCATGAGGGTTTTTGGAGATAGAGAAAAGTAGATCCTTAGATAGATGACCTAAGCTAGTTGTGAAGGCTGTCAGGGCAACCTTCTAATCCGACCTGTCTACTCTAAGAGATTCTTGATTGCACCTCTTCATGTAGCTACTTAGGGATTTACCAGGCTCTTTCTTAATGGTCAATAGGTGATAGGTAGGCTTCATATACGTTCTTGGCCCCAATGAAGTGAAAAATGAACTACACCAAAAGCTCTCTAAAAGACGAGATTGAAGCTGGTGCCAATCTGTTGAACTAGGCAAGAGCTAAGCCCTTTAGAGTAATAGCGAAAGCTCGACAATGATCAGGGTCTTGGTACCCGTGGAGTTCCATCTAATTTTTATATGAATTGAGATGGTCCACGGGGTCCTTGGTACTATCAAATGTGTCGATTCGAGGGATTCGGAACTTAGGTGGAAGAGTGAAATGCAAGATTTTCATTATAAAGGGCAACTCAGTTTGCTAAACCAGAGCTACCATAGTGACTGTAACTCAATTTTTCACAACCTCCTTCATGTTTCCCAACTCATACTGGATTTCTGTAAAACACTCTTCCCAAAATTGATCCATAGCATTTTGCTGTGCGAGAGGCTATCGATTTCTTTTTCTCTCCCCCGCAGTTCTGCTTTGTACCTCATCGTCATTTTCCTCTCTCAATGGTTGACATCTAGGATTTTGTCCAGACTTGCTATGGTGGTCCTTTATTACGCCGTTCAAAGGGGTCAAAGGATTCAGGGGATCCTAAGGAATTATAGGGTTATGAATTGGTTTGAGGGGGATTTGAATTGGTGGAAGGGGATTCTATTGTGATAGTTTAGGATTCTAAACTTGAATGAGAGCGAATAATTCCTCATTTTTTCTGAGAAGGCAAAACAGAATCTGTTGGTAGGTTTTTGCTTCTCCAAGAAGTGGGTTTACTACTGGGGGATTCAGTTGCGGAGGAAGAGGAATCCTTTGCTAGTTTCCAAGAATTTGACTCGTGCTTCGAGTTAGGACCATCAAGTTAACAAAGAAGAAAGGTTTCAAGGGAAATGATGAAAAAATTGATTCCCACAGATGGCTCCAACTGATGGTGTATGAACTCAAAGCGTGAGGAGGAGTGTTCGAATTGAAAAGTTCAAGGCTTAGGAACAATGGTGTGTGACTGAATAGTATAGAAAAAATCGATCTAAGGTTGAGCCTTATAGCTCTGTAAAATGCTACAGTAAACAAAGAATAGAGGTACGATCTGCAAGACAAGTAAGAACACACATATTATAGTGGTTCACCAGCTAAACAGTTTGGCTAATCCACTCAAATGGAGTCTGTTGCTCCTTGGGAGGCTATCTATTGCTTAGGGAAGAAGATAGAGTTACAATTGTAGAGATTACAATTGGTTGTTTGTTATGAGGTGATGCCTCTTATATTTATATCCATAGGTGGGGTGGTTCTCATGTCATCATCACATGATCCCCATATTTGTTAGGATTTTGTTGAAGTAATATTGGGCCATTAGAGACTACATTCCCTAGTGTGATGTGGTTTTCTAGAACAGGTTGAGGTGGCATTGTGGCCTGTCTTCAAGCTTAGATACATTGTGATCTTCCATATCTATGAAAGATCATGGTGTGTTGTCGTTCTACTTGGAATGACCTCTTATACTTTTAGTCAACTCATGAATAAAAGAGCCCGATCCAAACACCTAATCTAAGTTGGAAATGAAGATTCTCCTCCTGATGTAACATGGAAGATGCGGATACCTGTATATGAGGTCATACTTGGACGACTTTGACACTTCTTCTTGAGGTTGGACACACAACTGGAGTTTGGGAGGCAGGCCTTGTTCATTGATGGTCAAAGGAATTTTTTTTTTAAAAAAAAATTACACAAACAAACGACAATGTAAAAAAGTATATAAAAAATCTAGAAAGAAGTACTTCAAAAAACAGTTACCAAACGGTATTTAAGTTTTTATATTTAATTTTTAATAAGCTTTTTATTTTTTGTAATTTTTTTACGCTTAATTCTTTAATTCGTTAAAAGTGAAGTTGTATTGAGTGCGTAGAATTTTCCAAGAATCATAATAACTAGTTTCTATGGTTGGTTCAAATCCAACAGAATAATGATGATATATATTTGTTTTGTTTCTCGTGTTTAGAAGAGGTTGTGGGTGTTGAAGACTTGTATTCAGAGACCTGCCAATCTACCATTCAGATGCTTAGACTATGTTTGGGTTCGCTTCCACTGAGATTTTGTTTTAGAAACTCAAGTAACATCCCAATGGATACGGGCTCACTCGGCTCAGGCGGTGCAACTACAAGGTCAAGTCTCGTCTGATGTGTTAGAAGCGAGTTGCCTTACACCTATAGGCTTAGTATAACTGAACAAAAAGTTTCCACTCTCCTGCATGTCTCGCCGATTAAGACGTGTTTGGTTCAAGTATTAGAGTGATATTTGAATAAATTAATCTGATGATCACTTAATACCTCGTTTCAATATGTTATCCAGTTTTAATGACCTCATTACAACTGATATCGATTGAATTTAAAATGAATTATCCAATCCCATCCTACATTGGACCTGAACCAAGCACACCTGTAACGTGTTCTGGCCTTCCAGTATGCTGATATGCTTTGTATCGAGATAGTGGTTTTATACATTGGCATAACAAGATAATCATATAATTTGTGAAAAGTGGATTCCAATGTCAGGTATCATATAAGTAGTCCCTTGTATGAACCTGAATCCAAATGTATTAACCAAAGAAATCAATCTTCCACAAAAAGTAGCTGTATAGATTTTGCTGCTAACTTTATGGTACAGTTCCATACAACAAAACAACGACATAAACAACATGTTACAAGTCCTGAAGGAATAAATGAATAAGCAAATCAATAGTACGCAATAGGTAAAACACAGAGTGGTGCCTAAGAAGGCATCCTTCCCAATATGATGTTTCATGTTGGAACAAGATATTTCTGGACCAAACACAAATAACGTTTCTGCTGAGTATCAAAAAATCACAGTCCATTTGCATTTTCTAGTTGGAGTCTGGATCAATCAATTTGCGAGATCCTTCCCACAATTGGGTTTCAATCCCTAATTTCCTGAGCTCCATTAAGCCACGCTCCACTGCAACATCAGATGAAAGAATCACAAAAAAAACTTAGTTTTGTATTCAACATCTACCATACCCTATGTCTCCAAAATAATTCTAAATCTCATTTTTGCTTGCTCATTCAATGGATAAATAGATCAGAAAGTTTATGTTGTCCAACCCCCCCTACCCTCATCCCCTAAAAAAAAAACAGAAAAAAAAAAAAAGAAGAAAGGACAAAAACACTTGGGTAGGGGAAAAATATAGACACATAGAGCAATGTAATCCACAAATTTAATTAGCACTTCAATAGAACTAGCTTTGAACACAATTATCTACATTTAGATTAGTCCATTGTAACAGGACATTTGGCAACTTTTCACCTTAGAAAAAACGATTAGTCAAATTGTGAGATGAACATCTCCATCTAAGTACTGCTGGAAAATGTTTTCATTTAAAAAGTTATCAAGAAGTTCCGGTAGTGGAAAATAATTTTTACAGGGTAGCTTTCTCTGCCAGGACTTCCAATCGCGCATGTCCTTTTGGAGAATAGGAGATAACCCTTAAACTAACACATTGTACCTACTTTGGGGAGGAGAGAGAGTACCATCAACTGCATCATGTGAGGTGGGTGGTTGAGTGCCTTGGTTCATCCAGACTTGCAAACGCTCCTCCACAATTTCTGGTTCTAACCCATGTTTTTTTGCTCTTCTCCAGAAATATGCAAGCCAAGCCTGCAAGAGCAAAACAAGCAATAATTGAGTGAGCTGATGATAATAGTAGACATGTACAAATATCGCTACATTTTGCATGTTAAAAGGACAGTCAAAAAAAAAAAAGCAAAAAAAATTGGAAATTAAGGCTTTCTGCCACATGGTTAGTGCTCCATGTGTTGTTAGCTTTAAGATGTCCGTTTCAAACTATTAATGAATGACAACATTAAACAACTGAAAATCAGGCAATGGCCGAGTGGCCTGCTTCTGCATGATTAGATTGATCAACGTTCTATCAACACCTGAAGAAGGCTCGACTGAAGTAATGAGCCACAGACTGAGAACAAAGTGGACTAGCGGCCAAGAAGAGGGCTGTGAGGTGCAGTTTCCTCTCAATTACGGGGCATTGGCCCTAGAATCTACCATATTGAGAGGATTTGCCTTTAAAACATTCTTTCAGAGGATTTGCCTATATAACAAAGAATCTGTCATCAAATAAACTTCCAAGCCCCCCCTATGAGAGGGCCATTATATCCCATCTAAGCTATGTAATATGTTAATACTTAATTTAAGATTTTTCTCTATTGGAATCAGCAGTCTAGTATTTTTCTGGTCATAAGATTTCTTTAATTCCATCAGTTCTTATTTTAAGACTTAAGTTGTTAGAAAATGGAAACATCATGTATATGAAGCTCCTAGGCCCCCCTTTTAACGTGTGATCTAAGAAGCAATGGCATGGATACGGACATGAACACGAGGACATGGATACGACACGACATCGACACGCCGACACGGCATTTCTAAAAAAAATAGGACACGAACACGTCAGGACACACTACAAACAAAAAATATTTTATATATAACATTACATAATTTATTGCAAATATAGTGATAATGATATACAATTCATAAAAGATTTAGTATTTTATAATAAGTAAATCTTATGTCTAGTCACACTGTGTGAATTTTTAGACTAAATCATCCTCATAATAGTCAATACTCATCAATTTTTTTGTAGATAATGTGTACCTAATATATAATTTAAATAATTACTCTCATTTTTTCGATTCTTTTTTTTTAAAACTTTTATGCATCCTTTGTTTTTATTATTATATTTGAAGTACAATTTTAACATCTCTAATGTTTGTAATTATATGTTCTCAAATTTTTAAAATTTATTAATTACATTTCAACACTTGTTTATTGTTTAGTAGTAGACAAGTTCTAAAGAAGTGTTGGACACGTGTTCGAAATAAAAATTTTATCATTTAATTAGGGACACGGATAAAAGAGTATCAGACACGTGTCCGAGAGTGTTTAAAGAGTATTGGTGTCCGACACGAATACGTCACATTTTCAAGAGTTTCCATGCCTCATAGCATGTGATCTTAGTTAGTAGACATTACTAAAACCCTAACAACCCGGATCTGAATATAGTAATCCCAGACGCAGTGTTATCACCTAGATCATACAGAGCGGGAGCATGTACAGGAGCGAGAGCGAGAGTGCTAAAGCAGCAAAATTCAAAAAAACATTAGAGCGGGAATGCCTTGAGAGCGTCGTAGAGGCAGTCACATGATTTGGCCTTGGCTGCTGAAGTGGCACCTTTGTCCTTGGGCTGCTGAAGTGGCGCAGCGTGTTTTCTCTCTTTGCAGCAGATGTGACATGGTAAAACATTAAACTCACAAATTCAATATTTAAGTTCGTGAATTCAACATTTTGAGTTCGCGAATTTACCCTTAAAACACGAATTAACGCTCAGATCATTAGAGAGCATCTAGTTTGACGCAAATCATATGACTTAGGTTATCGCAATCTAGCTCACCTAAATGTCCGACCACAAATCATGTGACTGAGGTTATCGCAATCTAGATCACCTAAATGTCCGACCACAATTTTCAATAATAACCCCAATAAATTCGCTTTGGAATATGTATCACAAATATAAAATAAAAATAATTATGTGTGTTTAACGTATGCATAGTTATACACAATTTTAGAAAATAGGAAATTGAGCAAAAACATAAAATAAATAGTAATTGACTATGTGTTTTAGATCCCCTATTATATATGATTTCTTATAGAAGTGACAACGATCTAGATAAGAGTCCAACATGAATTACGACCCAAAACACCCTTCCAACTAAGTTTCCCCTCCCTTGCATCGCGTACCTAAGAAAGTATCGTACCTTGTATCCATACCCTTACCATTTAACAATCCAACCCACGATCCAAGTAAACCCCCCCCCCCCCAAAAAAAAAAAAAAAAAAAAAACACTCACACGTGGAGGAGTCATACCCTCTGCACACATGCAAACATGCAACACGATCCTAGTCCATCGTTATGAACATGAAACTAATACCCCATTTGGACCCATGATCTTAAAGAACCAAAGTTTTGGTACCATGTTAAACTTCCAGTAATACCTAACATCTGTCCTTACAAAACATTACTTCTTTTATCATAAATTTTAAATTCTGCATGATGGTATTCTTTTCTTAGAAAGTTCATTCCAAACACCAACATCAGTTAAATAATTGACGCGAGAGAATATGTGCGAGTAACTTGATATAAGAAACCAAAGGAAAACCAATAAAAATGAATGACAGTGATTTGGAAGGATTAACAGGATCAGATCATTCCCAACAGATTAATACAGGTATTTGGATAAACTGAATGCAAACAACGTTTGTGTATAAATACAAGAAAAATATACTAGCTAGAAAGATGTCGGATACCTGCTTAAAAATCACATCCTCAGACTCCTCTTGGCTCAATTCTGAAAGGCATAACATTTTTCCCCTTAGAACTCAACTCCAATACATCACCAAAGTATATAGGAAAATGAGTCTCTAAGAATTCATTTATATGATAAGCTCCTAGAGATGATGAGCGGAAGCACTTCATTAGAGGTACCAACTCAGACGACTACCCAAATCAACACATTATATTGAGTGCTGAAAGAATTAACCCCAAGCAAAAATTAGGCAGCACACCAATTAACATATTTGAGAAAATAAGATTCTCCCAAATCCCTGTAGAATGGTACAATTGCACTGGCACCTTTAGTAATGGCCTCAAGCAGTCAGGATTTAATCATACATGTGCTGCAACTTAGGGAATCAGGTTCAGCTAATGCTGTGTTGAGATGTTCTGCTCTGATTAGGGGCTTGTGAAGGGCCTTCGTGCCCAACAAAGACAAAGACAGTCCTTTTGCTTTAAAATTATGTGGACTGTTTTTTTACAAGCTTGTAAAGAGTATAACACATTGCTAACTAAACCTAAATTTTAGTCAAGGAAAGAAAGCAACAAACTAGAGGCATAAGAGGACAGCAATCAGGGCAAACCATAAGATGCGAGAGCACATCATATTTGAGGAATTATTTTTGGGAAAAGATTTTCTGGAATCTGTGCTAATGATCACAAAGTACAGCATGTACTTGGAACATAAGCAAAGTCAAAACAAAAACAAGTTTAAAAGATAGTGAGATAAAATAACTCATCGTTGCAATTCACAAATCAGGGTCAAATACTTCACTCTAAGTTAAGCCAACCCCCCCTTCTCAGGGCAATAGCAAAGAAAGCATTTCTTATGAAATTTTAATCACCTGTAATAACCAAAACATTGTTGAAGCTCTCTTGAACATTCTTTCCCAAGTAATTAGTTAAAATTAGAATAGTAATAATAATTAGGGCTTGGAATTGAAGAAAATACGAGAATGAGGGAGAAAGAGATGAAGCGAGAGTATATGATTAATTTGTGTGTTGGTTGTGTTGCCTTACACCATCTTATTTATACTAGATAGATATTGGTGAATTTAAAATATTACCCTACAATTGGTTATGATTAATAACATATGATAAATAAGATTTTCAATTCACTCCTTCAAACTGGAGTATAAAGACTAAAAATGCCCAATTGGAGTAAAGTTATTGAAGTCAGATCATGCTAATGGTTTTGTAAGAATATCACCTACAGATCACCAAACTTGACGTATGAAGTGATAATCTCCATTCGCATCAGAAATCTCAAATAAAATGGCAATCCATTTTGATATGTTCAATATGCTCATAAAATTCTAAATTACTAGGAATGGAAATAGTTGTCTAGTCGTCACAATGCAACTGCATAAGAGAATGAAACTACACCAATACTCATCTCACGAAGTAGAGAACAAAACTACAACATCTTACATGCAGTATAAGCCATGACCCAATATTCAACCTTTGCACTCGAACGAACAATTACATTTTATTTCTTATTACGCCAAGTTACAAGATTACCACCACCAAGCGTGCAATAACCAAACATAAATCATCTATCAATATGACTGTATGCCTAGTCAACGTCAAAAAAATCTGTAACAGTCATACGGATGATGAAAAGCGATATAATAATCCCTTAATCGGTATTCCTTTCAGATACCGAAAAATGCGACAAACAATCTCTCAATGACGCTTACGAGGAACTTGCATGAACTTACTAACCATACCAATAATATAGATAAAATCAAGACGCGTAATGGTGAGATAGATCAGCTTACCAACCAATCCTTGATAGTGCCCTGTTATGAAATACTTTTTCACTCTCAACATCTAACTTAACTATAAAGTCTATGAGAGTAACAATTGGACGTGCACCAAGACTACAGTAAATCCAATATGTTCTTTCGGTGGCACAAACTAATATTTTTCTTTGACCGAGCAATCTCAATTCCCTAGGAAGTATCGAAGATGACCTTTGATTGGAGGAAATCTTGTCACATGGTGAAGTAAGAAGCAACATCAAGTAGTGATAGCTACGTTTAGTGCAAAGGCTAAATACTGAGCAATAACCAATGGAGCCTGTGAGCTTATATGACTACAGACATTACTGAGAGCTGAGAATTTATGATGGCAGACCTATAAGACTATACTATGAGAACAAGGTTGCTATCAACATGTTATTCTTTATACCTCCTCTTGTGAAAATCTTCGTGTAAGAATGCATTCTTTATGTCTAGTTAATAAAGGGCTAGTCAAAATTGACTGTAACAGAAATAAGAATTATGTATTAAAAAAAAGAAGTTGACTCAAAAAAGGTGACATCAACACTGATATAATACGTGCGAGAGATAGGGTCATAACGACGATAACATTTCTGAGTACGAGAATATCCTAGAAAGACACATTTAATCGAACAAGGTGAAATTTTATCTCGATCCATACCAAGAAAATGAATAAATGCAACACAACTAAATACACGAGGAGTCAGACCAAAAGGCGATGTATCAGGATAGAGTAAGGAGAACGGAGATTTGTTACCTAAGATAGGAGAAGTCATCCAATTAATAAGATAGACTACAATGTGAACAACCTCATCCCAATAAGGTTTGTAAACATGCATCTTAAACACGAGGGTACGAGCATCATCCAATACATGACGATGCTTACGCTTGGCAACGCCATTTTGTTGGGAGGTTTTTTTTTTTGATAGGAAACATAACTCTTGTATTAAAATAAAAAGAGGGTACATGAAGAGAGAGATTGGATAAGAAATCCAATCAATAACAAAGAAAATTACAATGACATTTCAAAAGCAAAAATGAAAGGAAAGGCCTATAAATCACATAAAGCTCTCCATCCTACTTTTATAGCAAAAAACAGAGTTCCTTTAAAGTCCTTTGTAACCAAAGCCAAAAACGAAGCTAAAAATGAATATGCTCCCATAGTCCTTCTATACACTCATTCCGGTCTTCAAAAATTATTGAATTATGCTCCTTCCAAATAACCTGCATAGTAGCAATGATAGCACAATTCCATAGAGTAACACCTTTATCATCTTCATTAAACAAGGAAGTGGATGTAGGTGGGATCACCCACCTATAGCCCGCATCTCGCCGCTCGCCTCTCGCCGAAACAACCGATACCACAAATTCAAAACAAGAAGACAATGTAAAAATAAATGATAAACACTTTCACCTACACATTTACACATCACACACCACTAAGGGAAAAGACAAGTGTAAGGTCTCCTCTTCTGAAGCATGTCATTAGTATTAAACTTATCATGAGCTATTATCCATGCAAAAGAAGGATACGAATTTCTCCCACCAAAGAATCAGAGAAAGATTTACATAAGAAAACGTTCAATGATTCCAACATTCACTCTCTTTTATCAACCAACTTAGAATTCAACACAATGTTATTAAGAATATCGAGAAGTAAAATGATATCAATGGTATCTCTATTATCTAAATTCCTACAAAACTAAAATCCCAAGAATATGGAGAACTATATGACCGAATTATAAACATAATGAATGAAATACAAAAATGAGATAAATGATAGAGATGAGAAAACAAATATGAAAAACTATTTTCACTAACCCAAACATCCTCCCAAAATCGAATTTTCCCCCGACCCACCACTACCTTCACTTCTTGGGAAAATCTCACATTCCCCGAGAAATGAACTTCTAAGGGCCTAAAAAACTACCCCTTTCAACCCTATTACTATCTTATCCATTAGCATGTAATCCATATTTTGTTGGGAGGTTTGAGGATAGATGGTTTGATGGATAATACCATGGTTAGCATAAAATATTTTCATAAATTATTGAGTATACTTAAGTACATTGTCAGACCAAAGAATTTTAGTACAAACATCAAACTGAGTCAAAATTTCATTATAAAAGGTGGTAAAAACCTTGGGTAGTTCAGCATAGTCCTTCATAAAAAAAAAACAAAGTCATACGAGAGAAATCATCAACAAGTATCACAAAATACTAAAACCTAAAAATACTTTTAACTCGTTTAGGACCCCAAATGTTAGTATGAACAACATGAAATGGACTAAACTGACAACTTAAGGAACAAGAAGGAAAGGAACTACGGGGATGCTTGCCTAATTGACAAATTAAAACCAGTAATAACTTACGCAACTTTTGCATTGAGGGTTAACCTAGTCAGAAGTGCAACTGAAGAGGAGACACGGTAGCACTCAAGACAAGAATAGAACCACTAGAATCTAAGTAGTAAAGGTTTTTTTAGCTCATGCCCCAAACCAATCACCTTGGTGAGCTGGCTCATAGATAATAAGTTAAAAGGAAAAATTATGAACAAACAAACCAGAGATTAATGACATTGACTTAGTAGGACAGAGATCACCAATCCCATGAACTGGTCAAAAAGAACCATCAGCTAATACGATGCGTGAATTAGACGATTGAAAATTAGAGAATAGGGAATAAATACCAGATATATAAGCAATAACTCTTGAATCAAAGATCCAAAATGATGAAGAAGGTTGAGTAACCACATATGTAGAGTTACCTCCATTAGTAAGGTCACTAGTAGGAACAGATAAATGTGTAGAAGGTGAAGATAACTATTAGATGTGTTGGTTTCCCATACTTATCCCAACAACAATTCTCAGTGTGCCCAATACCACCACAATAAGTACACTTCCAATTAGAGTGATGACCATGTCCAGAATGACCACCATTACTACAATGCAAATTCTTCATTGAGAAACCCACAATGAGCTAATCGATAATAAAGAATAAGAGGGCAAATAATCCTCAAACCACCACAATAACACACCATAACCAAGACGACATAATCCTCAAACCACCAGAGCTACACACAGTAACCAAGAAGTGCCAAAGGGTTTGTCCAACAAAGGGGAATACACTATCAATATTAACCTAACAACAACACCGCAAAATGAAGAAAACACACCACAACCATAAAAAAAAAACAGCCAAACCAAAGTGCATATTTTACCTACCCAGCAGATTTAGCCTCTCGTGTAC